TCCTCCAGCAGCCTTCCATCTGTAAGCTCCAGCTCTTATAATGACAGCTTTAAATCTTTTGTAGAACAAACAGTTCAGATAGCATTCCTTCAAGATGAAAAGAATACCCAAGAAAAGGCTGAGAGAGAGAGGTTAATGGCATCTTTTGGCAGCACTAAGCAAGATGACAGAAAAGCTGAACCATCTGTTCAGTCAGTGCCTAGTGTAACTCAAGCTGCAGCATCAGCATTAATAGCATGTAGACTAGATTTGCCTCCAACCTCAGACTCTTACAATAATCGTATAATGGAAACAATAAATCGGGTTGCCAATAATCAAGCAGACACTGACTCAGATACACTTAGTGCCTCCAGTCCTCCTCCTCAAAGTAAACCTGACAACCACAGTCCTCTCAACAAAAATGTTAGTTTGTCAGGCTCCAGCCATCCTCACCATATGAAGAAAGCTTGGTTACAGAGACATGATGAGGATAAAAAGTATGAAATGCCTGTGTTGTCTCAGTGTGAAGATGACTCAAATACTAGTATTGGTCATTCAAGGGATATAATAAGTTGTGTGGAAAATTCCACTCCTCACTCCGACCAAGGCAATGAAAGTTTAGGTGCCACACCTGCTAATGTTGTTGTAACATTGTCCAATGGCACTGTCAGTGATCTCAACCACAACAGTGATGAATCTACCTCCTCAGCATCAGAATCTGAAATGCAGGTAAGTTTTCATTGTAAAAAGAAAAGAATTATATCACATATACAATTGGTTGATGTCAGATATTTAGTTCAAATGTCTTGGGTTTTAGAGGTCCATAAGTGTTTTTGTCTTAAACACATTCTGCAATAACTTGCATTACAGTATATTTTGATCAATAGTGTAATCTAAATGAATTATCACTTGTTTAAAAGTCAATGGTTAATGAGTCTTATATGGCCAGCACAAGTATCTTTCCCTAGCTGAATTAAGCTCCTCGTGTAGAGTAGAGCTTAGGGAACTCAGTTAAGAAATTATAATCAGGTGTTTCAACCAGATCCCAACTGTGACTATTGCATAGATAATTTAACCACCCCACCGATCGATCCCTTTAGTCTTATTACTTTGTGTTGATTGCTATATATTTTTAAAATAAAATGTTAAATATTTTTTTTTTTTATGGTTTCTAGAATTCATCTAAAGATTTTGGTACCAAGAAACGAAATCAGCCATCAAAGCCAAATTCTGGATTGGCAAAGAAGAGTAGGACTGAATCAGGTAAAGAGTCCCCAGTGTCCACTCCACCCCCATCATCTAGCAATAGTAGTAACTCCTCACGGAAAAAAAATAGCACAAATAAGCGAAATACATTGGAGAAAGACAAACTAAAGGTATGACATTTTTCTTTTAAAGTATTTTTACTTTAAAGTATCAAAAATTTTATTTATGCTTCCACATTTGGTTTGATTATTTTATTTTCTTACATGGATACAAATAATGAAATTTATTTTTAAAAATTCTATAGGATGAACAGGGTTACAGCTCTGCAAAGCAATCTCGAGATAACAGCCCAGTGCCACCCAAACAAGATAAGAACAAAATGTCATCACTGCCAGTGGTTTCAACACCATCTCCACATTCTCCAGAACGATCTAATCCTTCCCCTGCATTATCAGAGAGCAACACGGCCAACATGTCTCCTGCTTCGTCCACATCATCAAATAGCAGTAATACAGCTACATCTTCCAAGTCTGGTAGCAAAAATCTAAATAAAGACAAAAAGAAGACACGGCGTAATCAAGAGTCATCATCAAAAGACAGTAAAAAAAGTAAATAAACTTGTATTTTCACTGAATAACTATTTGTACTGCTACTAAATTTTAAAAAGGTCATTTTTTCAACACAATTTTGTCTTGGTACATTTTCCAGGTTCATCTTTCAACAAACCTTTAGTTAAAATGACTGTTGCAAATTTGAAAAGAACCATGATTCCATTTATTCAAGATGGTCCATGTAGTGAGATTACACCAAAATTAACCAAATGTAGAGAATGCAAGATGACACCAGTTCAGAGAAGCAAAAAACAACCAAATATTTTCTGTAGATTTTATGCATTTAGAAGGTACAGCATTGACATTTAGCTATGTTAATATTTTTTTTTTATTTTAATTTTTTAAATTTTGTATTTAATGCTTAGGTAATGCAATATAATCAGTTAATATGCATTTCTGTTTTTCTTTCCATCACAGACTTAAGTACAATCCAAGAGGACTTGTCACAATTCATGGATTTTCTGAATTGTCTGATGCAGATCCTGATGATATAGAGCCTTGGCTCCCACGTTTTCCAAGTAAGCTACAATTTAAGACATTGTGGTCTGTAGAACAGTTACATTTCTTTTTTACTTTATTTCAATAATTTCTCTTTTTTTTTAAATCTTAAGTTGAAGAACCTGAGCTTGATGTTGAAAATTCCAAATTTATAATTGCTAAAGTTGGTGACAAGTTTTGTGAGCTTGTTGAACAAGAAAAAGAAGCAAAGTCTTGGGCACGGGATGATGGTATGTACAATTTTATTACTTTTTACATTTTTTAAATGTTTTTTTTTTAGTGCAAAATTTCAATATATTTTCAACTTTTTCTTTTTAAATGTATGTTTTTTAGTGCAAAACTTTAAATATATTTTCAACTTTTTTTTAGTAAAAATTGTTTGGAAACGAGCTGTAATGGGAGTTAGAGAAATGTGTGATGTTTGTGATACCACCTTATTTAACATGCATTGGGTCTGCCAGAAATGTGGATTTGTTGTTTGTCTTGACTGTTACAAAGTTCGGATAAAGGAAGGCAAAAGTACGTTTTTTAAATCTTTTCCTTATTTGTGAAAAATAAAATTTACATCAGTGTTTCAATAATTACTCTTACAATCTAAACCCTTCAATGTGGTATTGCAGAAGCTTTGATTGATGATAAATGGCTAACTTGTAGTGCTAATAGACAAGCTCATAAAGCCAGTGAAATGATGCTTACTCAGATCATTCCTAGTGATGGTAAGTAACATTTATTTTAGTTGTTTAACATGTTAACTTTTGCACTTTTTGTGTATTTGAATGCTTAATAGCTTTTGCTAATTGTTTTTTTAAGCTCTTTGGGAGTTAGGTAGACTGATACATGACATTCGCACAAAATGGTCTATACCTTCTAATTGCCCTTGTGGTGGAGGAAACTCAGAAAACAAGCTTGTTCCCAAAAATGGTATTAATCAGGTAATATATCTATCTATATATGTTTTAATATAGAGTATTTTTAAAAATGAATCAAGTAATACATCTTTATATATTGTATTTATGTTTTAATATTGTTTTTAAAATGCATCAATGTAATTTCATTTTTTTTTCCTTTACATTTTTTTTTTGGAGAAAATTGTCTTAAATAATTTTCTTACATCAGCAGCTTCTTAATGCTGTTAACACACGCAAACTGCCAAATGGTTATGGTTCTGAGGAGCATGGCAACAAGCACTCTAACAAGTCTAAGAAACCTCAAGAGAATATGCCTCTAAAAAACTTAGATAGCTACAATCCAGACACAACATCCTCTCCTTTAAGCATTTTAGCTGAAATTGCAACAATGGAGCCAGAGTCCAAATTAGATGCTAAAAGGAAACTGGAAAAGACTAGCGTGCAAGATGAGTCTTTGGAAGAAACTGATAAAAAGTCAGGTTGTTCCACACTAAGAGAACTTTTAACCAAGACAGCTGGAAAGGTAAATGATAGCAATTTATTTATTGATCATGGCTTTTTATAAAGTTTCTATTTGTGCTTAGCCATCAATGTCTTTTTTTTTTCCTTCAGCCCAAAGTAACCAATGACAAGAAGGGAAAGAAAGGAAGTGGATTAAGTACATTAGATGATATAATCCAATCGGTTGTTGAAAAAAGCTGTACTGATGGTGGTAGTGCTCCTTTCAAGTTCCTTCATTACACTCCACGTCTTGGTGGATGGAAAAGAGAGGTACCCATCATGGTTCATAATCTAACAGAAACAAGTGTATTATATCCTGATGTGCCACATTCATGGCTGTGTGATGGAAGACTATTAAGATTACATGATGCTCACCATAAAGGCAACCTACAGATCTTTCAAGAGCAGTGGAAAAGAGGCCAGGTATTAAGAAATTCTTTATATAGCTGTTAATTATTCTAATGTACTGTACCACAGTTGCTGACTCTTTTTTGTTTGTTTTTTACAGCCTGTTTTGGTTTCTTGTGCAAATAAAAAAATGAATATTAACTTATGGAAGCCAGAAGTATTTAGTAAAGAGTTTGGACATTTGGAAAATGAAGTAGTTAACTGTCGCACAGGAAATACAATCATAGGTCATACAATGGGAGATTTTTGGGATGGATTTGAAAACCTTACAAGTGAGTTTTTCTGTAAACAGCTTAAGCAATTCAAAAAATGCAAACTAAAGTGTTGTTTTTTTCCTCCTAAAATTTAAGAATTATTAATCACCTCAAGATCTTGTTACATAGTTCACATGACTTTACAATTGAAACAAAATGTTAAACAACTCTGTAGCTGGTTATTCTTAAGCTTATCTTAGTAGTCATTTGTAATTGAAATGGAATTTGTTTTGTGTTTGTAAATTAGTATTCTTCTTTTGTAATGTAAATGATAATAAATGTTTTAAATGTATATTTTTCTTTTTTGAACAGATCGGCATGTAGATGAAAATGATGACCCTATGCTACTGAAATTAAAAGACTGGCCTCCTGGTGATGATTTTAGTGAACTACTACCTTCCAGATTCCAAGATCTAATGCAAGCACTTCCTCTTCCTGAATATACTCAGAGAAATGGAAAATTGAATCTTGCCTCACGCCTTCCTGACTTTCTTGTACGGCCTGACCTCGGGCCTAAGATGTACAATGCTTATGGGTCTTCACAGTTCCCTAAAGAAGGAACTACAAATCTTCATTTGGACATCTCTGATGCTGTGAATGTAATGGTTTATGTTGGTATTCCATGGGATGGTCCAGGTGGGCGTAAAGCTCAAGAAGAAGGTAGTTCTTTAATTGATTTTTATTTAAGCTCTTTAAGGGTTTGATTGGTGTGGAAAATAAACAAGTTTAATGTGTATAAATATGTTAGTAAAATTTTACTGCTGTTCTAAGACATTTCACAATGTTCAGAGTTTGTCAGGGACCCTTATGTAACAGATATACTTAATTTTTTTTTCTAAATATTGTTTACCTTTTTATTAGGAAAACATTTTTTCAATGTATTTAGATTTGTTAAACTTTTCTATTTAGCTGCTGTTAAAGCTATTGATGATGCTGGTTGTGATAGTATTACTAAAAGGCGAGTTCGAGAAGTACATGAAATACCTGGTGCTCTTTGGCACATCTATGATGCTCATGATGCAGATAAAATCAGGGACTTTTTAAACAAGGTACCTGATTATTGTTGTACGATATAAATACAAAGAACAATAAATATGGACTCATTATTGATAATTTTTTACTTTTATATCTCTAAACCATGTATTTCTTTAAATAGTATGTAAACAGAATTTTGAAGACATACCTTAATTATCTATTCTAGATTAGAAGTTAGGCATTGTATAGCACATTTGTACTACTTTTTCACAAGGTTGCTAAAGAGCGTGGTGAGATCATTGAAAAAGATCATGATGCAATTCATGACCAAAGTTGGTATTTAGACAAAGAGCTTTGTGACAGACTTTTGAAAGAGTATGGTGTTCAAGGTTACACAATTGTACAATGTCTGGGAGATGCCTTGTTTATCCCTGCTGGAGCCCCACATCAGGTACATATTTAGTGCAATATGTATTGTTCAGTATCTTGTTTCAAGGCTTTTAGTGATTTGGTTCAACATTATTTCAAAAGTAATTAATCTTTTTTTTTTTTAAGGTACGCAATCTTCATAGTTGTGTCAAAGTTGCAGAAGACTTTGTATCCCCTGAACATTTGAACCACTGCTTTAGATTAACTCAAGAATTTCGTCAGTTGTCTGAGACTCATTCCAATCATGAAGACAAACTGCAGGTACAACTTTACTTAGTATATTATTCATACCTTAGATATTATGTATTTAGTTTATATATTTATTTATATATGAAATCCCACTGTGTGGCCAAATACAATGTGACTCCAGAATACAGACACACTTTCTTTATGATCTCTAGCTGATGCATGGAGCTTTAAAACTTGCTTTTAGAAAGGCATAAAGAAACTATAGAGCTAATGCAATCCAAGTTGAATTAAGACTCACCTACTCATCAGCTTTTCAAAGTTACTCCTTGGCTATCTTTATTTGCATAGAATATAAAGATTCGTTTATCTCTAATCACAAAGAAAGGGTTTCTTATATACCATTTTAAAGCTGGTAAACTATGGACTTCATATTAAGCCTCCAATCTGTAAATCTGTAGTACCTGTCTGCTTCTGAATGCCTGAAAACTTAAAAATGCTGATTGTCAGCCTATTAATACAACTTACAATTTTCCCTTGTAATAATGACACATTTGACTGATCACTTTGTTTTCTTTAATTATCCTAGGTGAAGAATATCATTTATCATGCTGTGAAGGATGCAATTGCTGTTTTACGAGAACACAACCCTGAAGATGAATAAGACAGATTTGGATGCAAATTCAGTATAAAGACAATGCTGCTACAAAAGCTGCAGTTAGACATACTTGCGAATTCATATTCAGTACAAAAACTGCTGCTACAAAAGCTGCAGTTAGACATATTCCTGAATGCATATACAGTACATAAACTGCTGCTACAAAAGCTGCAGTTAAGACATATTCCTGAATGCATATACAGTACATACACTGCTGCTACAAAAGCTGCATTTAGATGTACTTTTATCTCCCCCTGTTCTAAACAGTGAATAAAGAGATTTCTACATGTGTGACAAAACATTGACTTACTGTGTTCATGGAGATGGCTGCCCAAAACATTTCCAAAGACAATGGTGTTTGGATGGAAGTTTATCATTGTGTACGTCTGTGATTCTATGTTGTCATTTCACTACATCATTACTTAAAATCTGATCCTTTGTTTCAAATCTTGTAAGAGGCTTAGTTTGGATCACATTACTATTTTTGATCAGATTTCACAAAATATGTTGTCTCTATTGATTAGTTAGTTCATACCATGGTTGTGACTGAAATGGCAATTACTTGTAACAATGCTATCGTACCTCTGCAGTCCCCTTTCATTGCAAAGTTTTATGGCTGTCTGACTATATGTCAAGTTGCTCTTAACAGAAATTAGTTTTATAATAAATCTAATCTATACATATTTATATATACTAATAGTTATTTGACACTGATAAGAACCTAAGTAAGTTGCCATGCTTTATTTGCTGCATTACTATGTTAATGCTGTGTATTACACACAGAATCATTTGTGTTTAAAAACTATAATTACTGTTTGATCCCAGTGTGTGTACTTTTATCAAATACAAATAGATACAAGCTACATTCTGTCATCCTCTGTTTGATAGTCATCATTTGATGTTCACATCTCTGTACATAGCAGAGTGATAATATAATATATCCCATGTAGATATGTAAGATTATATACAAATGATCTAATAATCATGTTTCTGTGATTGTTCTCATAATATTGATGTATTGGTAGATGAAGAAAATGTGATTTTTTGTTTGTTTGTTGGGTTATCTTTATTTGGCTATTTTTTTATTTTTTTGTTTTTTTTTTTAAGCCTTCATTTTTTAAAGGTTTATGTTTTTTGCCATTCTTTGTCAAGTTGAATTTAGTTTTCTATACTTTCTCTTTAGCCATTCATTTCTTAATAAGCTTCAGAACTTGACATGTTAACTGAAAAATTAGTTTAGGAATAATAAAGATATTTTATCAGAGCTTGTAATTTAGAAATCATAATTAAATTATTTGATATTCATTATGTAAGCATTTGACATGAGACGTATGATGGTGCCACTTGGTCATGTCACCACAACTTAATGGTGATCAGATTAGACTGATATCTTGATTTATTTATTAGTTATTTTAACTTATGATCATAATTGTTCCTGACTGATTCCTATCACATAATATTTTGCTCAGTTTCACTCACACACCAAAAAAAATTGCATAATTCACAAGTCAATAGATAATATATGGTCTCAAAATTTGTCAGCTTATTGACATTTGAGGTTTAGAAACTTTTTTTTTTTTTTCTTCAATAGTGTTCTTCAGAAATTCTACTAGATTTGTTGTTGTGACTAGAAAGCTAAGTATCAAAAGTTTGTTTTGGGTTAAATGGTGTCTTGTTACTATACTGAGTATTATAAAATATGCCATTAGGGAGTGTCTGTGAATGACAGCTGTTATTTCCTGTGTTTATGCATAACAGCTAGAGATTTTAGCTTTGTCTGTCATGTACACTTGAATTCTAAAACAAATGAATCTAAAATAAAGTTCTTTAACATTTCTCTCATGTGTACACACTTCCTTATTAGGGTGAGGACTAAATAGACTATCGAATTTGAGTACAGTGTAATGTATGCTTTCACTAATGGTAAGCATTACGTTAACAAAAAAATACTATACCATGGATTACTACATAGAATAACAATGAAAGGGAAGACATTTATTCAAAATACAAGTTATTGTTCAAAATAAAACAATTGAATGTAAGAATATCTGTGAGCCTAAAATAGTTTTAGTACAAATGATAGGATTGAAAGTACCGGTACCAGGAATCTCATTAACAAGAGACTTATCATAATCCATGGTATAGTGTAACAGTCTTTGTGTAATGCCTAATATTAATTTGTCTTTAAAAATAATAATAATAAAATAGCGTCAACAGCTCTCTCCACAACATTTCTAGTAACACTCCAAAAGGCAGGATATGGATTTAAGACAGAAGCTAAGCTCCCTGCCAACTCTACGAGTAACATTACCTCGGAGTTAGCATGGTGAACAAACTAGAAGCACTATATGCAGTTAAATTGTTAAAATGTTCCTGGTGGTTGCTGTCAACAAATTTACACTTAATTTTGCACAAAAGGACTCGCGGTGAGGTTACGACTTCCTAGGGGTCTACGAGAGTTTAAAAAACAATGAATTGGGAGGTCTACGATACTGGATGTCATCTAAGCAGGCATAAAATAGAGGATTATGGCCTAACAGGAGCTATAAAGGAAATTGCTGCCCTGGTCTCTTTGGATGAAAGAAAAGATGGAAAAAAAACCTGTCCTAATTCACCAAAATAGAATCCTTAGACAGGCACACAAAACCGACTAAAAAGAACTCGTTTGTTCAGGAATCACAGAAGCTTAAAATGAAATATCACTAGAGTCAACAAAACAGCATAATGCTTTTCCTCCCTGGGACCAGAGTTCCCTCCCTCCTATAAGAGACAGCACCAAAAGAGTAACCACAACCAAACAGAACTCAAGGAATTAGTGAACTCGTCTTAAAAACCCATTACCCAAACAACCAATGAGTCAGAGTCTACACAGATGGATCCACTCAAAAATCTAACTCAAACGGAGGATCTGGCATACGAATTGGATGGTCCAATGGAGAAAGAGTGGAAAAGTTCATTGCAACTGGCGATCTCTCAGACAGCCATAGAGCAGAAAGGCAAGCACTTTGAACTAGCAGCTACCACACTAATAAACTACCCATGCACACCAAACAGCCAAATTGTCTTACTGGCCAAAACAGTCCTTCAAAGCCTGAAAAACTCGGATACTTCCCATCTAAAGCAACTCTTAGCTCTTGTAAACCATAACGTCAACAGCAAGGAAACTGTTTTTCAATGGATTCCGGTACGCATTGAATTAGAAGGCAAGGAAAAAGCAGACATACTATCCAAAGATAGAAGAATGAACAAACAAATGAAAATTCCTCTCTACCCAGAAGAAATAATGAAAATAATAGAGAGTAGAATAAATGAGAATTGGACTAGCTCACATCCCAATTACAAGAAAAAGGATACCTATTATAAGCTATCTCCACATGACCAACGCATCATTTTTCGACTGAGAACCGGACACAACAGAATAAGACAACATATGTTCCGGAAGCTTAAAGTCGGGACGAGCGAAACATGCCCTTGAGGAGCATCACCAGAGAATACTGACCATGTCCTTCAAAGCTGCATACTATATCAAGAGGCCCGAATAAGACTCTGGCCACAAAACCTTCCTATAGAACAAAAACTATACGGCGGATAACTGCTCAGTTCATCTCAGATATAGGATTACTGATCTGAACCCTCCAACCTGTAAAATTAAAACGAAGAAGAAATCTAAGCAGGCCAAGCCT